TCTCTCTCTCTCTTCCTCTCTCTCTGAAGTCTGAGGAATCTTCGAAATGCAGAAGTTAAACAGTAGTGGGGAGAGGACACCATCTTGTGGGAACCCTTGGTTAATTCTTTTTAACTTCGAGATTTATTTAGGTTTTTATGGGAGGAAGGCTGTCTAAATGGCTCTAAGAAAGGTAGACCCTCAAGTGTTTTAGCATCAATATGCATTGTCCCTCGAGGCCAATGACATTGGGAGGCCTTTGTCTTCACGACGGCTCACGACTCAACTTCATCGCTGGTGAAATTATGAAGCGCACTATGTTTTCGGAGATTGTGCAGCTTTCTGGTCACTCGAAATCCATCTTTATCCACCGAACAACGTAATTGCAAAGCTAAATTGCGATTGCCAAAATCTCTAATGGCTAGCAGGTGCGCCTAAAAGTATGCAACATGAAAGTATAAAAGTAATGTTTCAATGGAGAAATCAAACCGAGGAATTGTCACACTTTGGAGCATATTCAATTATGGTTTAGTTTCGATATGCAAAGTAGTGCTGAAAAATAAAGATTTTTGAAATCTAACATCTATAAACATGGAATTTCTTGTTTAAGAAACGCCAATTTATATAAATTGCACTTGTTAAATGAAAATAACCGCAAAAGCCGTCAGCCAAAAAAAATATTATTTTCATACCCGAAAATGCTCTAAAAATTCAGAAAAAAAGTTCAACATATTGTTGAAAATTTGTTTAATATTTCTAAATTCTGTATAAAGTTTGTTTTTATATTTTTTCAGTTACCATATTTTGTATAAAAAAAAAATAAAAATAAAATAAAAAGGTAAAAATTTTAGTTATAAAAAAACACGATTTCTCCAGTTTTGAGCGCTAGTGTAGATAAAAAGATAACATGATTTCATAATTAAGTATGTATTACCGAACATAATCAACCAATGAGGATTACATTTCACCAAAGAAATAAATTCCATCATTACTCTATTTGGTTTTTTTTTCACACAGTACCATAAATTAAAACTTTAATTTTTTGGAAGCAAATTACATGTGGAAACAGACAGAAAGGACCTCCATCAATATACTATGTGTGTATGTATTTGTATGTACATATGTATACAGTAGTATATAATTAGAATTTGAAATTCCAGAAAAAATTTGTTAATTAGTTGCCAAACTGTAAAAAAAAAATGTTTGATGAGAAGAGCACCGCAGCACGAGGCCCGTTTATTTGTATGCCAAAGCAAGGACGACAGACGCGCCCGCTGCCATCTTCCAACTAAACATTAACGTTGATTCCGTTGGTGATTTTTATATTTTTCTCGCTATTGGTTGCTGTTTATTGGTTGTGGCTGTGGCTGTGTCGAGCGCTGCATTTGAGTCACGTACTTAATTCGATTTGTGGCACGAATCGGTAATGCTTGAATAACTTATTAAGCCGCATCGTTTGAACACAATGAACTGGGCAAATGTAGCGGGTGTCGGTGTGCAGGCGGTTCGGGTGTATGCGAGTGTGAATGTAACGCAAATTTAAATATTAGGCAAATTATATTGCAAGTAGATGGAGTATTTGGCTGTGTGCGCCGGAAAATGATGTGACATTAACAAGAGTTGTATGGGTATGTGTGTATGTAGGTGAAAAATAGCTAATTTTCTATTTACATTTTTAATATTAATTAGTTTTGAAGAATGGGCCTTATCAAAAAAAAATTAATCAATTGATTTTTCTTAAAATTTCTGACCTTTTACTTGATTTCTTCAAATAAATTTAAGTATCTCAAAGTTTTTAAGAAAAACAAATTGCTAAGTTTTTATTCATAGGCTCAATATCTCAGTGTTTTTAAAGGAGGTCCTAAAATTGGCAATTCGCAAAACAGCCAAAAGCAATGGAGCATCCAGAATACCAGCATACTTTTTTCTCGCATCGGGCATCCTTTATATGTATATTCAGTCCAGAGGCATGCGCAGTAGAAAATAAAATAGTGTACTAGAGAAATTGTTTACTTTAATATACATATGAATAAAAAAATCTTAAAGGTAGCTATATTCACTTATGACAAAATAAAAGCAAATGAAAATTATACTTTTAGAACAAGGCTATCGTTAAACATATCGCGGCATCAACTATGTATGTACATAAAACGGTTTTTTCTTTGTAATGGTACCTGAGAAACGCTTTGTCCTATATTTGAAATTACTGTTTTTTATTATTTTTATTTGCTTTTATTTTATTAACCGACTTAAAAAGGGAGGTTTTCAAATTGTCGGAATATTTTTTTTATGTATGTTACCGCATAACTTCGGACCATGTGAACCGATTTCGATTATTTGGTTTAGATCCGATCATTGAATCTTGAAGAAATTGACGATACTCCTAAATTTTGTAATTGTAGCCGGATAACTTTGGACCATATGAACAATTTTCGATAATTCTTCCTTTTTTATCGGAGAGGTGGTACCTCAAGGTACCATGGTCCCATACTAATTTGGTTTAGTTCCAAACATTGGATCAAGAAGAAATTAATGGTACTCCTCCATATTTATACGAGCATCGAAGTCGGTTGCGGTTTTTGCTTAAAAAATGTATTGTTTCCAACTGAATCATTTTAATAACGACGAAATTGTTTCTTAAATTTATCATAATGGTAGTCATCTGTTGCGCGTTTGACGCCGTTCACCGCACCAGCTTGCTGATAGGAATGTTGTTGCTGTTGTGGGGCATTTTGGGCAACATAATCGCGTTTGCGACGTTTTTGGTCGCTATCTTCAATGTTAACTAAAAAAAAAAACAATACAAAATAATTATATAACCCATACATGTGTAAATAAATTGTAATGAAATTCAACGACGTGCTGCTATGTGATACCCAACTTACATCGATTATGTTGCATGAAATTCACTGCCATGTTTGTTGGCACAAACTGTGATGGGCCATCTTTCTTGTTCTTTTGATCTTGCAGCAGCTTTTGTTTGGCATCCTCAGTCGCTTCGATATTTTTTATTTTCGCGTCAATACCTAAATCCACTTCAGGTATACCATTTAACATTTGATTGGATAACATTTCTTCCGAACGGTTTGATGAAGACTGTCGCAGATGATCAGGCAACGCCAGCAGTGCAGCCTCTTCAGGTGTGAGGTACTTGTTTGGATCACCCTCTTCAGTATCGGCGTTTGCCTTAGAAAGTCCTTTTCTTTTTTGCAATTCTTGTTCAATATATTTCATCATTTCTTCATCTTCATCTCGTTTATTTGTTTCCGCAGAGAACTGTGTGCCAATGCCTACATCGTAAGCGTCTTCTGGCTCTTTTAGTTTGCCGGATTTCAGCGCCTGCATATTCACGAGGCCACCAACTTTAACATTAAACGGGTCTTTCTGTAAAGTTATTGCGAGTTATTTTTCGAAACACTTTATCTAAAAACTTTGTATCAAAACTTACAATGGCGATTTCTTCTTCCGGCGCCAANCATCTTTCTTGTTCTTTTGATCTTGCAGCAGCTTTTGTTTGGCATCCTCAGTCGCTTCGATATTTTTAATTTTCGCGTCAATACCTAAATCCACTTCAGGTATACCATTTAACATTTGATTGGATAACATTTCTTCCGAACGGTTTGATGAAGACTGTCGCAGATGATCAGGCAACGCCAGCAGTGCAGCCTCTTCAGGTGTGAGGTACTTGTTTGGATCACCCTCTTCAGTATCGGCGTTTGCCTTAGAAAGTCCTTTTCTTTTTTGCAATTCTTGTTCAATATACTTCATCATTTCTTCATCTTCATCTCGTTTATTTGTTTCCGCAGAGAACTGTGTGCCAATGCCTACATCGTAAGCGTCTTCTGGCTCTTTTAGCTTGCCGGATTTCAGCGCCTGCATATTCACGAGGCCACCAACTTTAACATTAAACGGGTCTTTCTGCAAAGTTATTGCGAGTTATTTTTCGAAACACTTTATCTAAAAACTTTTTATCAAAACTTACAATGGCGATTTCTTCTTCCGGCGCCAATTTCTTGCCCAACGCCAAGCCGATAACACTTACACCATGGGGCCGCTGGCGCAATTTTTGTCGCTCTTTGATTTCTTCAAGTACGGCGCTAGAAGAATAATATTTAAATAAAATGCATATTTGGAATATGTTCAGTCATCCCCATTAGTCCCATTAGAAAGGGGACGGTCCCAACGTTATGAAAAGTAATAAAAATAAATGGAGCGTAGGTTATATTTATTATTTTAATTCTAATTTATAAACATAGTTAATGGCCTCAACTAATGCCAAAAAAGGGTCCTTTTTGGTCTTTTTAATGTTACGCCTCCACAGGTACTCTACCACCATATCTGCGAAATTCCCGGTGTGATTATAATTGCGCGCAGAAAAAAAGCGTTTCACCACCCTCCATTGCGATTGAATTCGCTGGCTGTGGGTCCCGTCTTCTGCGATGAATCCATTCTCAGAAAGACAATCATGTGCGCTGAAGAAATCCGTCCTTATAATAGACCCCTCGGCCACATGCTTTTTGATCAGCGGAATAAGAATATTCTCTGATATGCAGTTATCTGGGCATACTTCTAGACGTAGGTCCTCACTGCCATCTTGGATCATGCCCAGGACCCAGTGACCCTCCACTCCTCTGCCTGAAAATAAGAAAGGGAAAATTGAAATCATAACACAACAATCGAATAAAAATTACCTTTGTTGAGTTTCCGCTTTCCAAATTCACTCTTGTCAATCTGGACTATCTTCCCAGGACCACCAATTTTTCCGGTGGCTTCTTGGTGGTCCAACTGGTATATTACAACGACTTCTCTACAATAACTGTACCAGTCGGTTATAGTCGCAGATGAGAGAGTTTTTCCCTCCTTCACATAGTCTTGACGTAGAATCATCTCGCGGGTAAAATTCTCCACAAAGCAATACATCAAATAATATACGTGGGGGACGCTTATCCGGACTCCCTCGAACCACGTCGCTGCAGCTACCGAAATACGGGGCCTTTTGGCGCATTTGCCACGCTGGCATACGAAGTACCCAAATTTTCCGCCCTTTCGCCAATTCATACGTACTTTATGGAAGGGGCACAGCATTGTACCCCGGATCAACCCATGCTCCACCGCGAATTGTGCCCCCTGCTCATGGGTTCTTAACTCCAGTACCATACGCGCAAAATTCCATTCGCCGCCTTTCTGCGAATTTCTTGCGCTGGCGCTAGTGGAAGGACGATCATCTAGAAACAGAAGAATTGCATTTATGGGATATTATCATAGACAACAATTACTTACCAGACATTTTAATAAAACAACGAAGAAACTAAGTGGCAGAAACCGAAATGAATTAACTCGTAAAATTTGGCGTACAAACTGGAATGCAATTTTAAGTCAAGCCATAAAAAGGTTATATTTTTAATGCATCTGGCTTATATCTTATTTCCTTTTGTCTCTCATCCTTCTTACAGTTATTGGAGTTTGACAGCTGAACTACGCCATTTAATTTGCCTACGCAACCAAAGTCGCGGGCGTACTTTTCAAGGTTTTTTTTTAACAAATTTTGATTAATTAGATTTCAAATCGAATTTCCAAATAAATTAGCGGGCAAAATTACAAAAGTAGGTGTTAGAATAAAGTGTAGACACTAGACACTTGACAAGTGTGTGGAAATTTTTTAGATCGGTCACTTCATTGGGCGCAATAGCCCGAAATCGTTTGGCACAAAACTAAACAGCACCCGAATATTTTTCAGTTAATCAACATTGAAGCTTACATTTCCTCATCTTGCTTTTCCTCCTCGTCTGAATGTGAGGGCTTTCTCTGACGTAGATTCTTCCGTGGCTTCTTTTTAAACAATACTTTTCCACTGCTTTCCTCGGCGTCTAATTTGACCTCTGATTGGCAGTCTTCTTTCTCCAATTTTACCTCAACTCCTTCAGACATTATTTTTTGTTTAAAAGGTGTTTAATTATTCAGTTTACAAAAATGTTGAGTATTTATGTTTCTGGTGTTTTCACACTTCTATGGCTGAAATGATTTTGAGTTTTGTTTTGCTAACACATTCGTACTTTTTAAGTCACAATTGCTTAAAAACGTCTATTGTGAACAACGTGAAGAAAAGAAGGTGGATCGTTGCTTTTGACAGCTGACACCACCGCTGATATAACAGGCACGTTGTGGAAATATACGAATTTTACAAAACAGAATTTTATTTATTTTGACATAAATATAATTGCAGGTTAATTGGGAATCAGGTAATATTCCGTCATGAACTTCATACGCCTCGTCTTGCGACAATTTNTCTTGCGCCAATTCACTCGTCACAGTGTCCGTGCTCGTACGTATTCTGCCGAAGCAGCACCTGCAACCGCTAGCGGTGCCGAGAAACTAGTACCACCACCCCCAGAAGGTCTAGCCAAAACAGCAAACCCAAAGTTGGAAAACATCGTCAATAGTATTGCTGCATTAAATCTGCTAGAAGTTTCAGAACTTAGTGGGCTACTGAAAAAGAAATTGAATTTGCCTGAGACCGCATTTGTACCACAATTTGCTGCCGGCCCTGCGCGTCCTGCTGGTGGTGAAGAGGAGGAAGAGGAAGCTGCTCCAAAGAAGATACAAACTGCCTTCAAAGTGAAGCTGCTGAAGTTCGATGAAAAACAAAAAGTAGCGTTGATCAAGGAAGTGAAGAACCTTTTGGAGGGCATGAATTTGGTGCAAGCTAAGAAGTTCGTCGAGAGTGCGCCTACCATCGTAAAAGAAGATATACCAAAGGATGAAGCAGAAAAACTCAAAGAGGCACTTAGCAAGGCTGGTGCAGTCATTGAAATTGAATAAAAAGGTTGCTACTTTTATAAGGAATACGCACCGTTCCCTAATCCTAAACACAAACTTATATATGTAGTTTTACGCATTTTTATGTGCACTGATGTACGTAAATAAGTTCATCATTTTAATTCCTGATTGATCTATTGTTGCTAGAGTGAATTATAATAAAATCAATTAAAATAAGGAACAATAAGTGCGCAGAATATTTTTTTCGGCTGGTTACTCAAAAAATTAGCATTTCAATCCTCACACGGGAAATATATTGCAGCCACACGTGCCCAGCTCTCTAGAGTCCCAATATATTTTTTTATAATTGTGATTAACTTTCTTTTCTGAAGCACAACCTTTCCCTTGCCCCTTAAATTAGTATTTGCGCATTCTATAAACAACTGTAAAATGCTATAATAAGTGCGTCATACCTTTCTGATACAGCAAGTGAATTTAAAACCGTTAAGCAAATATGACTAAACGTTTTTTTTTTGTTTCTGAGTATAATTTACATATACAAAGACGTCTCATGCAATAATACAACAACGACATCCTATTACAAGAATTTCCTCACGATCATGTTAAAAGCAAAATATCAACAGAAAATCGTGTTGAACTATATTCTCTTATTTAACTGATTAATCGATGTCATTTTCTGCCATCAAAGCCACACATCTTTTCCATGAGATTACTCACACATTCTTGCAATTGATGCCAGAGCATGATCAATTCTAATTAGCACCTTTGTGGCAACAGCAACAAACACATATTGGTTTCCAATACTCAATGTAGTACCAATTTCTTGCTGTTGGCCAATACCAACAACTTCAGCGCTGGAAGGTGGCATTTGCTTTTGTGAATTCTTGCAGAGCGCACAATCTTTTACGGTAGCGGTGTAATTATTTAGTTAGTGATGCGATACCAGAGTGATTAGATGGCGTACAAGTAAAGTGCGTATTTAATTTGAACGCAATTTGAATCGAGGAATTTAATTAGTCCGCGCAGGAAGTGTGCACACGTGTTATTTAATAAATTACGCCCTTTGCATATATATACATACATACATACATATGTGTATATATAAATATAACAGTAAAAAAAGTGAAAAATTTTCAAACGAAGAGCCAAAAATTCAACTTACAAAAGTGTATGCGAATATTTCATTACAAAAATGAGTTTATTCACCTTATTCGCCGGACTGCTAACGCTGGGCATATTCGGTTATGTGATGTGTAAGGATATTGATGAGTATCCAACAACATTATTATCATTTCAAAATTCATTAGAACCCCCTATAGAATCAGCGATGTCCACCAAAGACATGCTTCAAAATCATTCACATTCGAGATCGCCTAGATGTGAGTATATGTACAACTCATCAATAACGTATTATTCATGCTCTAAACTGCATATGTCTGTATATGCGACATCCTCGTGGCCTTTGGGAAAGATAAGTGCTTAAGATTATAGATGCTATGTATATATGCCTACATATCTGCGTACATAATATATCCGCTTACATACCTCATTCATGTCTCATGTACCTTCTAGCAGCTAACGTAAAGTGCTAACTTAACCAAGCCAAGTTTGTTTCATAACTCTATCGTTTTTCGGTCAATAAACGGTTATAGCAATTATCACTCCATGAAAATTAAAGTTTTTATTTGTTATTTATATACGAGCATGCATACATACATACACAAGTACGTACCTATTTGAGAATTTTACCTATGTATATTTAAATTAAATTTAATTAGCCTTTTTGCTATTTCTGGTCTTATAACAATTATATTCGACCATTTCATTGAGCTTGAGGACATTTTTCATAAAAAAAATTGTGTGGAAAACAACAATAATTTAAATGTGAAATTGTTGAATTAAATTTAATAATAATTAACGCATAATAACAACAGTCAATTTTACACACAAAAAATTCAAAATGCTGGCGAAAATAGAGAATTTATCTTTCTAACGTTAGGATTTTTTTAAAAGGACTTTAAGATTTCAAAGGTGTGATTAATTCAATAAATATTTTAAAAATTCAGTGCAATGTAAAATAAGAATATGGTTGATACCCATAATAAAGTTAATATTCTGTAGAATTGAAAATAATACATTTTTTTGGCGAACAAGGGTGAACAGTAGAAATGTCCTTTTCAAATTTCATCCTTGAATTTTGATGAAAATCGGGGACGGAAAATAATCATTATTTTTTAAATTTTTATTTAAAAAATATACATATTCTAAACTTCGCAAAAGCTTTCGATCGCGCAAAGACGCGTTTCTTTGTATATTCTGTTATAAATCTCAGATGCATAATTTTCGGGGTTAACCAATAAAATTCCAAAATATTCACTAATTCTTGATTGTTTTCTTTTCGCTCAAAATAAACTAAACAATTACGAGAACGCATTACAGTTTTGGTTTAGTTCTGCACTAGAATAAAATGAAATGTCAAGAACGTTCCTGCAAAAGAACCAAACGGAAACAAAACTCTCGGGAACGTTCTCAAGGAGAACAGATTGAGAACGAATCTTTCGGGAACGTTTCTTATGAGCACGAAAGTATCGAGCACGTTTTCAAGGAGGGTCAATAAAGAACAAATGTCTGGAGAACGTTCTGCCAACAAACGTTCTGAGAACAAAAGGAGAACAAAAGCTCTGAGCAGTTCTCGTCAGGAATGAGAAGGGCATCTGCGTGTTGTGATGATAAACCGTTTCAGTGAGAACCATGATTGTTAATTCTAAGCCAAAGGAAAGCCGGATCATTTCATCTTCCATATCGTTTATCATTAGGGGGAACTGTACATTAATGAAACAACTTTTCATTTTCTGTGCAAGAAAAGTTCGTACCATAAAACTTTCGTTGTCTTTATTTGCATAATTATTAGGGGATTCACAAGTCGTGTTAAGCGTCGTAACTTCTTTAAGTCTTAAAATTTTTCATGTAAAATAACGGTTAAAAGCGTTTTAATATAGGCCGACATCCTATAACGCAATAGGGTGGGTCGTGAGATGTAGAGGTCAAAAATCTCCAGTTTCGTTTTCTAAGATGAATGACGGATCTCGGCCCTGTACGAAGGGGTATCTGGCGTAAGGTCAAACGTCATACTTCTTTATGTATTGTATTGTGAACGATGAATGTCCTTGCGTGCAACACCGTTATTGTTGTTGTTGTTGTAGCGGCTACAACTACCCTGCCCAGATAGGTTAGTCGCTCAAACGTTGTCGTCAAGCTCTACTAACGGAAGTCCCAGGAAGCGTGCAGCCTCGATGGGGTCTGTCCATAAGGAAAGAGGCGTTGGCAGGGTGGGTTCAGTGGACATGCGAAGAGATGTTTCGAGTCATGGGGTGTCTCTCCGCATGCCGGGCATTTGTTTGCCACATCTGCAGTTATTCCTGAGTTTAACTTGCTGAAGTAGCCAGAGCGAAGTTGGGCTATTGTGGTCCGAGTCTACCGAGGCAGACGAAGCACTGTCTCGTCCACATCTGGTGATTGTGCGGCCAGAACGGCATTCACAGGTCGAGAGCCTATATAACTGGAGACTGACTCCCTGTGAATGCAGTTCAGAGCCTATCGGTATGCTGTCGGGTCCAGAGGTTGTTTTATGAACCTCTAGACTTCGTCCGTCAGTTTATATAGATGCCTTATGACGTGCCGTGGCGAGGGTTCTTCGGCAAGCAGATGTCTGTTCGGGTGCCCACGTCGGTGACACCCTACTAGGAATTGCTTGCAGAACATTGCGTTATGCTCCTTAATAGGTCAGAACCGGCCGGCCAATTGCATTGTACGTTGCCAATAACGTTTCTTTGTCTTTGCCCCAGGTGCTGCCGGTTAGCGACTTGAGGACCTTGTTGCCGCTTTGTACTTTATTGACAATTGCGGTTGTATGCGCAGAGATGGAGAATAGACTGTCGAAGGTTACTCCGAGGATCTTCGGGTTATTCGACGTCTGAATTGGTTCGTCATCGACGTGAATAACCAGTTGCAATCTAACCTCCTTCGTCCAGGTGGTGAAAAGCGTTGCTGAAGATTTTATAGGGGAGAGGGTTAAGCTCCGTGCAGTGAAGAAGCGAGAAAGCTCGGGGACATAGCCGACATCACACAAATCATCAATTCCATTCCTAGACGCCATTATCGAGCAATCGTCAGCATAAGAGACAATAGAGACTCCCTCTGGTGGTTGAGGAACCCCCTGTATTATTTAACAGTGCAACACCGTAGCC